CCCCCACGGATCATAGGAGCTGGAGATGCTCCCAACACTCATCACAATAGATTTGGGATCACACCTCCTTACAGAACAACAACTTCGAGATTAAGCCAGGATTCATCTCAATGGTGCAAAACAATAAGTTCCATGGGTTGGCAATGGAAGATCCCTTGGAGCATCTTGACAACTTTGAGCAAGTGTGTGGGATGATCAAGATTAATGGCATATCCAAAGATGCTTTCAAGCTGCGTCTCTTTCCATTTTCTCTTGGAGACAAGGCTAGACATTGGGAGAAGACCCTTCCACAAGGCACCATTACCTCTTGGGCTGAGTGTAAGAAGGCGTTCCTTTCCAAGTTCTTCTCTAGCACCAGAACAGCAAGGTTGAGAAGTGAGATCAACGGCTTCACTCAAAGGAACAATGAGACGTTCAATGAAGCCATGGAGCGGTTCAAGGATTACACCATTCAGTGACCTCACCACGGCTTCAGCGAAGAAACTCTCCTAAGCACAATATACCGTGGAGCTTCACCAAAGATACGCTTGCTACTTGACACGGCTAGTAAGGGAAACTTCATTGGTCAAGAGGTAGAAGAGGGCATGGAGCTGATTGAAAACTTGGCGTTGAGTGACGGCAACTATGCTGAAGACTACGACCGTGCACCGAGAGGTTCTGAGCTAGAGTCTCATAAGAAAGAGCTTAAGTCATTGCATGAGAAGATTGACAAGCTAGTGTTGGCTAACCAGAAGCATGTTCACTTCGTTGGTGAAGCGGATGAAACCATAGAGGAGTTTGAGTTGAGTCAGGAAGAAGCCAATTGGGTGCCGGGTCAGAACAACTACAAACTGCAAGGGTATTCACAAGGCTACCAGCAGAACAAGAATCTCTCCTATAGAAGCACCAATGTGGAGAACCCTAAAGATCAAGTGTACCCTGCGCAGCAAGCAAAGCCATTTGTGCCCTACAACAAAGGCTTTTAGCCGAGTAGTGGTTTTCAAGGTCAGCGGCAAGGTACCTTTCCGGGACAGCAACAGCAGCAAGGGAACAAACCTTATACTCCTATGTATCCTCCAGGTTTTGTTCCTCGACAACAGATGCAACCGCAGCAAGTTGATCCTGTACAAGCCATGTTTCAGCAATTGCTTCAAGGGTAAGCTTCAACAAATCAGAAGTTCGCCGAGATGAACAACTGCTTAGACTCCTCTCTCACTGATGTCTCTGCTCAAATCACAACTCTAAACAACAAGATTAAGCAGTTAGAGAAGGGTAAAGCAACTAGAAGTGGTCAGAATAGCTTATCGGGCAAGTGTGAGCAGAATCCCAAGGAATACGCCAACGCCATTACACTACGGAGTGGGAAAGAGCTTGCACCTACGGTTACTCCTAAGAACAACAAGGACGTTGTAATTAAAGAGGGGGAGGGTAAGCTTTCAGCTGACGATGAGATCAACTTCCACAACGTTTGGATTGAGTGACCAAGAAAGGGAAAAGAAGCAGCTGTAAAGAAGCAAGTGGAGAAAGCTACCGAGGAGAAAGATGAGTACATACCTCCTCCTTATGTTCCTAAGCATCCTTTTCCTGGCCGCTTCAAGAAACAGCTCATAGAGAAGCATAGGCTCTTGTTTGAGAAGCATCTAAGGGACGTAGAGATCAAGCTACCTCTCGTATATTGCTTTGCTATGATGCCTAGATGTGCAAAATTTTTCAAAGACACGCTTGCAAAGAAGAATAAGGAAAGCAAGGAGGTGCTGGTGCTTAGTGAAGAATGTAGCGCAATTATACATAAGGAGATAGTTCCGAAGAAGTTGGGAGATCCAGGAAGCTTCACTATACTATGTGCTCTCGGTCCTTTGACATTTCAGAGGTGTTTGTGTTACCTTGGCGCTAGTATAAATCTGATGCCTCATTCCATAGCAAAGAAATTTGGTTTTACCCTTTTCAAAGATTGCATAATCTCCTTGGTGCTAGCTGACCGAAGCGTGAGGTTACCCGTGGGTTTGCTTGAGGACTTGCCAGTGAGAATCAGTGGTGTAAACGTGCCTATGGACTTCGTTGTGTTGGAAATGGATGAAGAACCTAAAGATCTGCTCATCCTTGGTAGACCGTTCTTAGCCACTGCTGGAGCCATCATCGACGTCAAGAATTGTAAGATAGCTCTGCATCTAGGCAAGGACATCAGGCTTGGTTTTGACATCAATGAGGTCCTGAAGAAACCAACCATATAAGGGCAAGCTTTCTACATAGAAACGTTGGATGCCTTGGCGGACGAACAGCTAGAGGAGCTTGCACAAGAGGATTATTTGAAGTTGGCATTAACTAAGGAGCCAGGAGAGTACGGTTTCGTGGATAAGAGAACTCAGGAGTATGTTAATCTCCTGGATTCTAGGAAATTTGTGTTAGAAGATGAAGGCGGATGCCTATAGATCGATCAGGAAATCGAGAAGATCACTCGATCCAAGTCAGCAATCGACAAGAAGATCGAGGATACTGGTCGATCTGAGGAGAGAACGACTCAGACACCCAATCCATTACTCGATCATTCTAAATCGAGTGAGTGATCGAGTTGAGAGCAATCGATCCAGAAAAACAATCGATGGAAAGATCAAGGGAGGTCAACCGATCAGTTCAGAGAACAAGACGGGGACTCGATCTCCTGCTTGATCCCAATTAAATCGAGTGGGAGAATTGAGTGAAATTGCTCGATCCGGGCCAGAACGAGAGCAAGATAGACTGGAGGACTCGATCTTGGAGGGGACAACGGTTCAAGGAAGCAGTCTTAAGGGTCATCTCTCGGGTTCTAAGGAGGGTTCCAAGGAGGAAAACAACAACAGCAGCCACAAGGATGATTGGAGCGAGCTGCTAGCCCCAAAGGTGGACCTTAAGGAGCTCCCAAAAGGGCTAAGGTATGCTTTCTTAGGGCTTAACGAAACCTATCATGTGATCGTAAATGAAAACACAAGTGATGATGAGTCGCACTCGCTCCTAACTGGGCTGAGGAAGTATAGAAAGGCCATTGGGTACTCTCTAAGTGACATCAAGGGCCTTTCATTAATGCTTTGCACTCATAGGATTCACTTGGATAATGAAAACGCCTCTTCTATAGAACATCAAAAGCGTTTGAATCCGAATTTGAAAGAGGTTGTTAAGAAGGAGATTTTTAAGCTATTAGAGGCTGACGCAATCTATCCCATAAGTGACAGCATATGGGTTTCTCCCGTACACTTGGTGCCTAAGAAGGGAGGGATCACGGTCATTAAGAATGATAAAGATGAGCTTATACCTACTAGGACTATTACAGGACACCGTATGTGTATTGACTATAGAAAGCTTAATCTTGCTATTAGAAAATATCATTTTCCCTTGCCTTTTATTGATCAAATGCTTGAAAGACTTGCTAATCATCCCTACTATTGCTTTCTTGTTGGATATAGTGGATTTTTCAATACCAATCCATCCAAATGATCAGGAGAAGACGACATGTACATGCCCTTATGGTACCTTCGCGTATCGAAGGATGCCATTCGGGTTGTATAATGCACCGGCTACGTTTCAGCGGTGTATGATGTCGATCTTCTGCGATCTAATAGAAGAGATGGTAGAGGTGTTTATGGATGATTTCTCTGTCTATGGTGCGTCCTTTTCTGCGTGTTTGTTGAATCTTTGCAAGGTACTAAAGCGTTGTGAGGAGACAAACTTGGTGCTTAATTGGGAGAAATGTCACTTCATGGTAAAGGAAAGGATCCTGCTTGGTCATAAGATATCAGAGAAGGGCATTGAAGTAGATAAGGCTAAGGTTGAGGTCATGATGAGTCTTGAGCCGCCGGTTAATGTCAAAGGGATCAAGAGTTTCTTGGGGCACGCTGGCTTCTACAGGCGCTTCATCAAGGATTTTTCCAAGATTGCACGCCCTCTCACACGGCTGTTGTGCATGGAAGCCGATTTTGTCTTTGATGAGGAGTGCTTGCAAGCTTTCAAGACCATTAAGGAAGCTCTTGTCATGACACCGATAGTTGAAGCACCAGACTGGAGTCTAACGTTTGAGATAATGTGTGACGCGAGTGACTACGCCGTGGGAGCTGTTCTAGGGTAGAGAAAAGACAAGCGGCTGCATGTGATTTACTATGCTTCAAGAACCTTGGATGACACGCAAACAAGATACACTACTATGGAGAAGAAGCTATTGGCAGTAGTGTTTACATTTGAGAAGTTCAGAGCTTTTCTAGTGGGAGCCAAGGTTGTTGTCTACACAGATCATGCGGCTCTTAGATACATCTACTCCAAGAAGGATACAATGCCGAGACTCTTGAGAGGGATACTTCTTCTTCATGAGTTTGACATGGAAATCAAGGACAAGAAAGGGATAGAGAACGGTGTTGTTGATCACCTCTCTAGGCTGAGGATCAATGAAGCCTTACCTCTTGATGATTCGCGTCCGGAAGAGCAACTAATGATGATCACCACAGCAGTCTGTGGAAGGCTAGAAAGGCGGTTTGAGGAGGTTTTGAGTTTCAAAAAAGAGGATCTTCCTTGGTACGCTGACGTTGTGAACTACTTAGCATGCGGAGAGGAGCCAACTCATCTCGACAGCTTTCACAAGAAGAAGTTCATGAGAGCAACTACTTTTGGGACAATAAAATAAAAATAAAAAAATTCTCAAATCGTTTTTCCGTCTCTCTCTTTGTCTTTGTCTCCCTTCGTCTTTCCTCTTCCTCTTCCTCTTTGCATGCGATTGAATCAGTGCCTGAAATTATTGAAGAATGAAAAGGATACACAGATTAAACAATTGAACCAATTCTCTCCTCAATTACTCGAGTCCGGGTAAATTCGGGTAAGTAACCAAGTGAATTCTTTTCATTTGTGTGCATTTGAAATTGATGATCTTTGGATTTGGTAAACCAAAATCTGTGATTAATTAGTATTTTCAAACGCATCAATGAGTTTGTGTTTCACTCATGGATTTGGATTTCTTTCTGAGGTGGAGCATGTGCTGAGAGAAGAGAAGACAGTGGCTGCTTATGTTTCCGTCGAGATCAGACACATCTCGATACTCCGTCGCTTCTGGAATTTTCCAGATCAATACCGGAGTTTCTACGTTTCAGCGGCTCGTCAACACACTCGATACTCCCAAGGACACGCCGGAGCTCCGGTAGAAGCTGTAAGTTGAAGAAATCGAAACCCTTAATGTCGTTTTTAAGTTTCGATTCTAATTGATTTGTGGGATTCGGTTTATTTTGGATTGAAATTGTTTAATTGGCGTAGGTACAAGACACGATTGCATATTGGGCAGCTTGTGATCCAATTATGCCCGTTTTGCAAAACATCCAATTATGCTGTCGAGTATCGTGGAGGGAAGACTAAAGAGGAGAAGAGCGTTGATTGTTATGGACGCCAAAATAAGGATTAGACAGAAGGAAGTTGAAGAAGAAGAGGAGAGAATGCAAAAGAAACGTCTGGAATCATCTTTTTGTAGTACAAGTACAGTGACTGATGATACTGAATATGGTTCTGCTGCAGGTTAGTTCTCTAAGTGCAGCATTTGTCAATCTTGTAACTGTTGTTTTTCTTAGTTAACAGTCTCAAATCACACTTTTTTGCGCAGAGGATGAGGAAATTGTTTCATCTCAAGACTCATGTGTTACATCAGACCCTCGGGTTAACAGGTTTCTCTTTCTTCACGTTCTGTTCTTTTTTTCTTTCTCTTTGGCACAGCGATTCTGTACATGGATCTAAGTGACTTAGTATTTTGGATCTTTTTATGCTCTGGGAACAGTTAGAGATTTAGGAATGAAGCGAGGACTAGTGTGCATCTTGTTCAGTTGTCTCTTTATTATTACATTTTGACATCATTTTTCCAGGGGAGTTGCATGGGAATAGTGTTCCCAAAGGTTAATAGGAAAGCTTAGGTTTGTTATAGTTTTTGCTTGTATAGTTTGTATATGTTAATTGCATAGGAATAGTGTTCCCAAAGGTTAATAGGAAAGCTTAGGTTTATTAATATCGTTTTGTGATGATGACAATGATAATGATAATAGTTTTTGGTTGGTTCGTGTTTGTGTAGCCAAGTAAGAAGATTGCAGATGCTAAGCTTGCAAAGGACTTTCAAGCTGTGTTGAAAGAGTTTCAGAAAGCTCAACAAACAGCTGCTGAAAGAGAAACAGCTTATACTCCTTTCGTGCCTCCATCCGCCACTCCTTCTAGGTAACGATTGTTCTCATGGTTTCATTTTACATTCAGCTCAGTTCTGAATCAAGAATGGGAATTGCATGTGTGGTGGTCTAAAAGCAAAAGCATTACTTTTTGAATTACAAGTGTGATGATGTTAAGCCAAAAGTTTTACTTCGTGGATTGTTAGTCTGGTTTTTAAAATTATGTTTCTTATTTTTATTTGTCTTGGCTTCGATGTGATAGCTAAACAACGAGTGAGGAAAAGGTCCCGGAACAGAGGGCACAAGTTATGGAGTCAAGAAGGCTGGTGATATAATGAAAAGAAAAATCTTATACACATCTCTGTTCGTTTTTGTGAAGCAACTTATCTCTCCTCATGATTGATTGTTGCAGACAGGAGCTCGTGTTGTTAGACAATGAGGCTGTGATCAAAGAAAGGGAGAGTAAAGGTAGAGTCTTTGCATTGCAAGACGAACCTGAGGTAGCTCGTGTTTGGTTGCCAAACAGCGATTCACCTGGTTTAGCAATGGCTAGAGCTTTTGGCGACTTTTGTCTCAAATATTACGGTTTAGTCTCAGTCCCAGATACCAACTACCGCCGCCTAACAGAACGAGACCATTTCATTATTCTTGCTAGCGACGGGGTAAATACAAACCTTCAACCTTCCATTGCTTGTCACTAAGCTGCAATTTGTTTTTTGAAAATAATGTTTGTTTTAATTGAACGGTTTTTTCAGATTCTCTATTGCAATTATGTAATTTCTATGTTTCTATGTATTTTATTTTGAAAATGTTTTATGTTTTAAAAGTTGTTAACATAAGTTTTAATTTAAGTTTATAATTTTTTTTTTAAAGACACCCATCAAAGTATCTCTATTGTAGGATTAAAAACAACTAAATTTTGGAAAAGGTCTTAAATACCTAAATATTATAAATTAATCATTAAGACCATTCCCAATGGTGTTACCATTGGAGTTGCTCTCATTGTACTTTCTAGCTCCTAGGTTGGATTGATTCCTCTTGCACTATACTAAACTGTGTGCTGCTTGAGTTTTAATAAACTCCTGCTTGCATCTTGATAATCATTACATTGCAAAAATCTTGTTATCAAAGTGTCAGGTTCTTCTTGGACCAGGTAGAATTGGTCCCAACAGTTTCATTGTAGCGTGTTTGAATTGTATGTAATTTAATTTTCACGTAAATAATTTAAATTTGTTTTTATGAAAATAGTATTCGACCCGGAAAACTTGGAGGCCCGAACCCGGGCCTGATCCGGAAACAGGTATCTCCTATAAAAACACACACTTCTCGTCAAAGAGATGAGGAGAACACCTACAGTGATAACTTCATCTCCTAAATTCATTTTCATCAATGAACACCACTCATCAAAGCTTTATCAATATCCTTTAGAGTTGGTTGAGCACCCCGTATCCCCTCTTCTGATACCCCAAATGCGCTTTGTCTAGTCCTGTGTCTATTTTGACAAGAGCGTCGGAGCGTAATCGGAAGGGCAACCCTTTTCCTGTTCTCCAAAGTACTCTTTCCTTGTTCGTTCATTGGAGGCTAGCTCATCCGCCTAGAGTTCAGATCTCCCACGCACGAACAACGACCTATCAGATCCCTCCACGTGGCATCCCAAAATTTGCTTCCGAACAACTGGAAACTGGAAACTATTCGTCGATGGGGCCAGTAACTTCCGAAGCGCAGGGCTAGGGGTGGTACTCATCTCCTCGGAAGGAGATGTGGCGCACAGAGAAATCTGATGCGGGTTTTGCACCACCAACAATGAAGCAGAGTACGAAGCCGCCTTAGTCGGCCTTGATATCGCCTACAACCATGGAGCTAAGGATATAATCATGTACATCGACTCCAAGCTCATCGTGAACCAAGTCCGGGGCGAATATCATGCGAAAAACACGCGCACGCATGACCGCTTACCTCGATGCAGTCAAGAAAGCGATGAGACGATTCACGAATATCCAGTTAGAAAGAATCCCATGGGGGCAGAATAGTACAGCAGACGCCTTAGCAAAGCTGGGATCCTCTTTAACCGAGATACCGAAGGAAAGCATCCCGGTCATCCACCTGCAATGGCCAGCACGCCTGGCCATAGAAGATGAAAGCCTCATTCAAACCAACCACATAGAAGGCTATAATGGATGGATGCAGTCAATCTGGGACTACCTCCGCGAAGGAAAACTCCCAGAGAATGCTCGCGAGGCGGAAAAGGTGCAGAGATAGGTGTCACGCTGCCCCGTCTCACGAGGACAGCTCTACAAGAGGTCGTATAGCGGTGCCACCCACACTTGTCCTGAAGGAGGTCCATCAAGGCGAATGCAGGTTACACTCAGGAGGAAGAACGCTCGCGCACAGGGTCCTCGGGGCAGGATTCTTTTTTTCTTTTTCAACAAACAACCATAGACTAGGTAAATTTTGGTAAATGGTTACGGTTACCAAAGTGTCCGTTTCCATTAACCGAGTCTGACTTACATTGGAAAATATAAAACCTCATGCTCCTGCCATTTAAGCGAGAGTATCAACACATACATTTTGACTACGAGGAATAAACCGAATAATACATTCCTCAAATGAGGTTCTAAGCAAAAACAAATAATCTAACTTCAAACTAAAAGCTGGCCAATCTCTGGGGTCCTCGATCATCTGGACCAAACTCGAGCAATCCATCTCGATGCAAACTCTCGGAAGCTGTATATCCTTTAGGCATGTCATTTCCCAAAGAAGCCCATCCAGTTCTGCATGTAGAGCTGACAGATTTCTTCTGCATCCTTGTTGTCTAGTGATGGTAAATCCCATTGTCTCTGTTAGGTACCACCCAATTCCACTAACCGGTCCATGGTCGATCCAAGAGGCATCAATCTTGCATGTCGGGATTTGGGGGGGGCCATAAGGAGCTCGCCCACGGTGTTTAGGCCATGCCCCTCCTCTCTCTGCTCTTCCATCTCCTTTTCGTTTGCTGTTCACAAACTTTCTGCCTCTATGGTAGCATATTGTAGGGTATCCATAGCTGATACAACTTTCCCATTGAATACCTTATCATTTCTTGCCTTCCAAATGAACCAAATAATCCATGGAAAAATATGCCTTTGGGGTGCAGGTAGCTCCCTTTCCTTTATCTTCCAAAATAGGAAATCTAGGTTTCCATATAGAGATGAACACGAGAAGCAACTCGGAAGGGACGGAAAGTCTGAAAGAGCCCACACCTGTAAAGCTGGGGGGCATTCAAACATAATGTGATTAATTGTTTCCTCTGGATTTCCACGTCAAGGCAACTTGTATATGTGCCTAGGTGGCGAGAAGTAAGCCTCTGACAAGTAGCCACACAACCTGATAGAGCTTGCCACTTAAAGTGTTGAAGTTTCAGAGGCGCTCGAATCTTCCAAACATGGCTCAAGAGGCATGTGATGCTTGGTTCCGCATCGCAGTCGGCTTTTGAGCAGCCTTTAAGTTTTGTGATAGTTTGTATCCTGATTTGACTATGTAAGCTCCCAATTTTGTGTGGTTCTATGCATATCCATCCAGAGTAAACGTCTGGCTAGGTCCCATCCTAAAGATAAGGTGTATATCATTGGGATGGAATAATTCGCAAAGAATCTGAGTGTCACACTCATTGGTATCTATGTTAATGGGATCATGGACTAAAAGGTTTGGATTCCTACTAATCATCGGGGTGATTCCTCTAGGGGGCCTCGCCATCATAACTGGGATCCAAGGTTCAAACTCTAGTGTTACATCCCGATCGAATGGTCTTATGTAAGCCTTGGAGGAGAAGAGGTCTCGCGGCCATGATGCTACTCCACCTATATGATGGAGAATATGATTTGTCTACATCTAGAGGGCTTGATCGACGATAATATCTCCCTCGCATCACCTTATCAAAAAGGGAAGATGGATATTGAAGTAAGCTCCATAGTTGCTTTGCTAGCAATGAGATGTTAAAGTCATGTAGATCTCTGATATTGTATCCCCAGTCTTCCCTCTTCTCGAGATACAAAGTCATGTAGGTCCCATGCAAACCAATGCATACCTCTATTGTTTTGTTTTGAACTCCACCAGAAGTTTGCAATTGCACTTCTAAAATTATCTATTACGTGTGGGGGAAGTAGGAAACACGACATAACGGAAGTGCTTGAGCTACGGATTTTATTTGAACTTCTTTCCCTCCTTTTGAAAGTAATCTTGCTGACCAGTTGTTAATCCGATTGTTCAGTCGGTCTTATACATATGCAAAGACCTTCTTTTTTGGTCCACGTATTTGTTCAGGAAGTCCTAGATACCTTCTTATGCCTCCTTCATTGGATATTTTCGATAGCCCTTTTTATCTCTCGACAAATGGGTTGTCCAACTTTGTTCCCAAAAAGAATCGAGGATTTCGCAGTTCAATTGTTTTCCCGATGTTGTTCCGTATGAATGAAGTATTTTTAATATCTTTGCACCTTGCAGGACATCTGCCTTGCAGAAAAATAAGTTGTCGTCTGCAAATAAAAGATGGGAAACTCGTGGGTTTGCTCTTACAATCCTTAGCCCTATAACTCGTTGTTCTTCATCTGCTCCTATAAGAAGGGAAATGAGGAGCCTACAAAGCCTCATTCGACCTTGTCATATGCTTTGGACATATCTGTCTTAATGGCCATAATTTTTTCCTTGCAGCTCAGATTTGTGCGCAATGCATGAAAGTTTTCCTGAGCTAACAAGATATTGTCTGTGATTAGGTATCTAGCCATAAAGGCTGATTGGGTTTCCGAAATGAGCTTCGGGAGTATTTTCTTTAATCTTTTACAAAGGATCTTCGAGATGGTTTTATAGCTTACATTACATAGACTTATTGGTATAAATTCCGTCATCGCTCTTGGACGGTTTGTTTTTTGGATTAGGCATATGTTCGTTTGGTTATACCTTGGGTCGAGCTTGCTTTCCTCAAAGAAATCGCAAACCATTTTAATTATGTCTTGACATGTGGTCTGCCAGAATTTCTGGTAGAATCGACTGGTCATACCATCTGGACCTGGGGCAATATCTGGATTAATGTCAAATGCTGCCGTCCTTATCTCTTCAGGTGTAGGAGTCGCTACTAGAGAACTATTGTCATCAAGAGACATTTTCTCGGTAATAAACCGGAGAGAAACTGAGAAATCAGGTAGGTTTGATGTCGTGAAGAGATCCTAAAAGTAATCAGTCACTACCTTCTTAATCCCTGTTGTACTTTCTACCCAAATTCCATTATGATCTTTCAAATATATGGTGCAATTTTGGGCCCTTCTTTGTTTAGTGCATGCATGGTAGAATCCTGTATTCTTATCCCATGCTAAGTGTGATATATCATGGTTTTTATGGTTTTTAACCATGGTATAAGTCCTTTTTATTGAGTCTTTTTGGTCTTTTTAGAGTCCTAGTAGAGTCTTTGCAGGTTATAGCATGTCTGGAGCATAATTGGAGATATTGAAGTCTTTTGGATCATTACAAGATGAAGCCACGAAGTGTGCAACTCGAGAAGAAAAGTATGGATTTGGGTGACGCTCGTCACCACCTATGGTGACGCTCGTCACCCGTAGAGGAAGGCTCGTGGATGATTTATTAAAAGATTGAAGATTATTTGCAGAATTGGCCCAAAAGTTCCAGTATTTGC